TAAGTGCGGCCGAAGGCCGCCTACGCAGAAAGGTGTTCTCTGCAAAATGTGTTCAGCCCCCCCTTCTTCGGCAACACAGAAATAATAATTCTACTAAGTAAAAATTCCGAATTAAAAATCCGCTTTTATTATTCAAAATTCCAGTCTGGTAGCACTAAGTTGTATGTTATTTTGCTATCTTATTCATCGTTTATATAAAAACTTTAACAATAAATTATAAAAGAACTATAGGGTTGCTAGAAAAAAGGGGGGTAGTTTTGAAATCAGGGGGTCCTATTCTACCCCCCCTCATCCCCCCTTTTTCTAGAATTTGCCGTCCGTCTACTAAAATTTTCCCAAACCGGCCATCGACCAGTTGCAAAACCACTTAAATCGCGGTTGTGGCATAAATCAGATTGGGTAACCCTGAACTTCAGGCATCGAGATTTATGCATAAAAATTTGGTTTTGGCGAGACAGTACCGGTTTTGAGAAAACTGTCCCGCTGAATATTTTGTTAAAGTAGGGACATATAAGTTTACCGATTTTTCATATATGTCTCGATTAAGTCCCGATTTTCAGTGTTTTCTTTATTCATTTATTAAGTCTCTCCCTGTACTCTGGCCCAATTTTACAATCGAGGCATCACTTTTGCTTCATTTCTAAAGAAACCTCTAAATAATTGTTTGGATTATTAAATGTTTAGCAAATTTTATGGTATTAGAAATTCGATGCATCGTGCGGGACAAAAACCATCGATATATTTCTTTTATATCCCTAAAGCTGGAACTCCATAGGCAAGCGTATGCGTGCGTTTGACAGCCGAGTTGTATAGACATGTTCTTATGAGATGAACTCCGTAAGTACACGCGTAAACGCAGAGAACGGACAAAAATTCGAACATGAATTTGAATTCATACGCATTCGAATGCGCACAAGGTTGAATTTTATCAACTTTCATGCATTTGCTTGCGTAGACAACCAACTTCAAGGTAATTACAATATACGTTTGGTATGTATGTATAAATCCATATACATACATATTTTGGTAGAGAATTTTTGGGGCTTGGTAAGCATTTTCTTTATAAATATGTATAAAAGTGTGTATGTGTGGTGCATCAACTTGTCGAAATGACAACTGTCAAACGTTTGTAAGCACACACGCTTGCCTATGGAGTTCCAGCTTAAGATGACAGCACAGTGGTAAAGAGCGTAAATTTAATTTACGTTCTCAATCACTGGGAGTACAGCGTTGCATTGCACATCACCAAAGATTTAAAATACATAGGGCACTTTCTTTTGTAAATGCGATGAGTGTAGCCATTGAATTTGGGTAAATTTATTTACTTGTATTATTGGTATCCTACTTCTTCTTATTTGACACTACCAAGAACTTCGCCAATTGCTACTCTCCTTCGCGAAGTTGAGGTAGCTGTTTATACCGATGGCAGATTGGTTCTCCTGCATATGGTCCTTCTTTGGGTTCGTGAGCGCAGTCGTTGTCCACCCATAGTTGCGGAATGTAATAATCTATTCATCGGATTGCCCATGAAACGAGCTGTTTAGACGGGCCAAAGCGAGAGGGGGGATTGGGCTGACATGCGAAGAGGTGGTTGGTGTCAAGCGGGGATTATCCACATGCCGGACAATCATTGGGGATATCGGGGTCGAGTCTATACAAGTAGCTGTTGAGGCGGCTACAATATCCTGGCCGGGTCAGTCGAAGCTCTATGTCTTCGATAGGTGGTGATTTGGCTCCGATCACGGTATTAATAGGTCGAGAATCATGGTAGGGGGTGACCGACTCTCGGTACGTTGTTGTTGTAGTGGCACTACTAAGCCTCGCCTATTTCGGTTCATCCTTCAATCATTGTCGTGAAGCTCAACTAACAGCAGTCCCTGGAAATAGGCTGTTTCAATAGGGTCGGACCAAAATTATGAGTGGGATTGAGCTGGCATGTGAAGAGGTGATTGGTGTCGTGCTGACAGTCTCCACATGCCAGACACTCACTGGGGGTATTGGGGTCGAGTCTGAATAGGTAGCTGTTGAGGCGGCTATAGAGCCTGGGCGGAGGCTCCTCCTCTAGCAGGGGTTTGTTGGGTAGTTCACTTCTGTGGGACCCAATCAGAAACTGCTTACAGAGCATTTCGTTGTGCACCCTTACTGGGAGCATTTGGGCCTCGCTGTGTAGGTGGTTCTCAGGCAACATCAGGAACCCTGCCGCTGTCCGTGGTCTGTGGTTTCGTTCACTGCGTCCAACTAGTCCCCGCGACCAAACTGGTTCTACATAATTTAGAACTGACCAGCCAATTGCCTTGTCTATTCCCAGCAATGTTTCTTTGCCTTTGCCCCAAGTGCTGCCGGTAAGCGACTTGAGGACCTTGCTGCCGCTGTGTACTTTGTTGACAACTGCGGTTGTGTGTGTGGAGAACGAGAGCAGGCTTTCAAAGGTGACGCCTAATATTTTAGGCTTGTTTACTGTCGGTATTGGTGGGCTATCGACATGAATACTTAATTCTAGCCTGACCTACTTCGTCCAGGTGGTGAAGAGGTCGGCGTTAACTTCGTTGGGGAGAGTGTTAAGCTGATTGCAATGAAGAAGCGAGAAAGGCTGGAGAGATAGTCGTTTCTTTTGAACAGAGGTCATCAATTACATTCCCAGGCGCCACTATTGAGCAGTCGTCCGCTTATGAGATCAGGGAAACTCCCTCAGGGAGCTTCGAGATGTAGAAGTTGAACAGTAAGTGGTAGAGGACACCACCTTGTGGAACCCCTTGTTTTATTATTCTAGGTTTCGAGGTTTGATCTCGGAAGATTACTGGTGACGCCGACCACCTTTTGAGTAGGAGAGAGGAGTTCTCAATGTCTTCTAGTAGCGTGGCCGTTTAAACCTTCAATCGCCGGTTCGTCGTCAGTTTCAGTAGCTGGTCGATGTAGTTTTGAACTGAGTCCGTGTGTTCGAAAAGATGCCTTCTGACGTACCTGGTCGGAAAGAAGCCTGTGGTATCAGGGTCCTTTACAGGGCGCATTTGAGTTTCTATTCTTTCTAACTCTGATTATTAATAAACTTTTAATTCTCATTGACCTTTGTTACTTTTGTTTAACTGAGAATTTATGAAATTTCGTCGCGCGGCCTCGCATATGTTCTTAATTGCACAGAGGCTAACGCGGACTTTACCTACGAGAAGGTAGAGATTCGGGTTGACGTTGGCTGCTCGGATGGAACGCACGTCAAAAACGCTCCAAGCTTATATTCTGTCTATCGCAATCTCATCAATTTGGTTCGTGGTACTTTGAATGGGGCACTACTTACAACCATGTTCTGTGCCACGATTGAGTCGAACAGTCCCCCTCCCGTGTGATTGGTGTTCTCTTGAAGATTGAAGTATCTGACAGCTGAACCAACCAGAATAAAAGCTGCAGCGCCCCCTCACCGCTTCTGTTTAGGTATGGCTGTATATCTTCTTTATCTACCCTAGTGTGGAAGCGGCCAAGTTTAACTTTTGATTTCGTGGCGAGGTCAGCGCTCATATCCAGGGTCGCAAAAAGTAAATCCGGGCCCGGTATTAAATATCTGTCCGTACCCTCAAACCCTGCAAATTTTTTTTATACCCTTTTCTAATTAAATTTATCAACTTAGCAAAATATTTTTATCTTCGAACTTAGTTTTCGAAAAATCCGGGCCCGTGGGCGCAAACACCCCGTTGGTTAGCTAACAAAACACAAGCTTATTGTATAAGCACCAATCTATTATTATTGATATTGCTGTAGGTTTTCATGAAAATTTTTTTCTGAATAGTAAAGTGTTTGGCCCAACTTCTCCTCCGATTTATGGGGTCTACATTTTTACGCCGCCTCCGAATAGCGATTGTATTTTTATGGGAAGCTGTTTCTCATGGCTGAATACTAAGGTGGTCCAAAACAGTAAGGTCGGCATTGTAATTTTTGGACCACCCTACTGAATACACTCGGTGGTTTGTGATTGCCCGCTGAGGGGCGACCGCTAATAGAAAACAACTTTTTTTTTTGTTGTTGGGTTGAACCGGGTTTGAACGCACGCTCTGCTGAATTGTAGCGCGCACTGCTAACCACTACACCACAGCGGCCGCCTACAGAAATGCTTAACTTTAGTTTCAATTATTTAGTCTACTTTATACAATAGAGTCGCGTGAACAAGAGTGCTGAGTGTCTGAAACTGACGGCGTCTCTCATTTGTTGCAATATTCCCAACTCCAACTTTTCAAGCCAAGCTGATAAAGCACACTCCCAGATAGCACAACCAAGTATGGCCAACTTACTCAAAGCAGGTGGGCAGTCTTTGCTTGCCAATCGCCGCGCTAACAACTGGAAAATAAGTAATCGCGTAAACGGTTTGACGATTGCAACCATCAAGTGGCAGAAAACTGGCTTTGAAATAAAAATAAAAAGAGTGCTTTAGACGCGTTAAAAAGGAGTGGCAGCTGTGTGCGTTAATGTACTCTTCTATGTTCATACAAATTGTTTTATTTTTTTTTTCGTGAAATAGTATGCTTTCTAACTACATACATAAGTATGTACATACTCGTACGTTGGTTTAGTAGTGCTTTCCCGTATATAAGTACATACAGTTGAATATTTTTTATATCTAGTAATTTAGTTAATATTAAAAAAAAAAATAAACAAAGACTTAGTTTTCAGCTGTATAATTTGTGTACATATGCACGTATGTGAGTGTGATGCGGTTTGTTTTCCTGTTGATGAAATGCAAGTTTCTCAATCATCCATTTTAAATTCATATGTATGTATGTATATATAGATATGCATGTTTTTCCTTCATACTTACATACATACATATTTATGTACTTATGTACGTTTGTAAATGTGAAAATGTCTACATTTTGTTTTGCATTCCTCATTTGTTCCGCCAATGAGGTTGAGTGAACTTTTAATTACATTAACAACAATAATTGTCGCGCTTCGCATCTCATCTAATTTTTTAACAAAAGCGTACATTTATGTACATATGTGTATTAGGGTGGTTCATAAAAAAAGTTACACTTTCGCACTGCTAGATAGCTCGAAAAAAGAAGAAGAGTTTGCATATGTATGTATATTTATATACTTTTTGTATTGTCATTAAAATAGTGACCTCTTACTTGAAGAACAAAATTTGGTATTCTCTTTTAACCGCACAGTGAATTGGATCAACACTATATTGAGAACGTATTGAAGTGAATAATACGAATAAATGAAAAAATGTGTGTGTACATATCTACTTATGTAGTATATTTATATCTACCGGTGTTGTTATAATTTTGAACATTGACAGAGAGTGCAAGGTGTCAGCTTTACGTGAAACGTGATCAGTGAATAGAACAATTTTGTTGCATACATAGTTACCATTGCAATCTGACTGAAGCATAATAAAAGCTTGTAAAAAGCGGAGAAAAGTTCAAGCATGTCTTCAGATCGATTCCACAAGTGAGTATCTACAATTGAATACATGCATGTACATTAGGGTGGTCCAAAAACCAGTAAAGTCAGAATTGTGATGCTCTCACCTCCTAGGATTGTTCTATATCGAAAAAAATATACCTTTCTATTTTATTTTGAAATAAAAAAATATTCGGAGGTCGCTCAAAGCGCTCAAAGTTTTCCATGTATTTTTATATGCGAAAAATAAATTTTTTCGTAGAAATGGTATAAAATTCTTGAAAGTCAATATTTTTCGATCGGAAAACTCTGGTTGTCTTCAGGAGACTTTCAATACTAATACCCAATTATCTATTTAACCGTTTTTCTAATACTAACGATTTATCATTGGTCGCCCATTATATTTTTCGGGGTTTTTGTGGGTTTTTGGCGGACCTCTAAATTATAGTTGCAATGAACGAAGGGTTAAATAAACAATTGGGTATTATTACTGGGAATCTCCGGCAGTCAAACACGGTTTTCTGGTAGACAAATATTGATTTTTAACTATTCTATACCATTTCTACGAAAAGTTGTTTTTCCGCTACATAAAATACATGGAAAACTTTAGGCGCTTTGAGCGACCTCTAAATATTTTTTGGTTTCAAAATAAAAAAATAAGGGTATATTTTTTCGGTATATAACAATCCTCGGGAGTTAGAGCATGAAAATTCCGACTTTACTTTTTTGCATGCATTTTTGCACCACCCTAATGTGCATATTTAAAAAATTCATACTTTGGTAATTGCCTGCTTTTTTTCTCAACGATGTATATATGTACATATATATGTATGTATTAGAAACCGGCATTTTAGAGAATTCATACATACACATATGTATTTACCTGTGGTTTGTTTACACGGGGGTTGTTCAATAACTCTGCGTTGTAAAGAAAATTCTCTTAAGTCTGCTTAATAAGTATTAAAAAAAATATTTTAAGAAATCATAGCTGAGTTTTATATTTATACGTTATTATTTAATATGTATACAAAAATTCTTTGAAAGCGCAGCGAAAAACGTCAGATATTTGATAATATGTTGTAAATTCGTGTTTCATTAACATTTTTTAATGTTCAACTTTTGGATAGGCTGCAACCCTTCAAAAAGTCTGCCTAGTTAAGCTTTCCCAAACACTTTTCATTTGGTATCAACCTTGCAACAACTCATGTAATTTCAATACTTTTAAATTTCACTACATATTTACATAGGATACCACTCAATTGCAAATATCTGTGAATCAATTATTTTTCAATTAACTTTCGTTTGACGCCCATATCGTAATAATTAGTTCATTTTATCAATTGAATTGAACTAAATTTTTCAAATAGGTGGCAGCCGGCCTTAAAAATATTTTCGACAGCAAACTTACTTAACCTCTTTAGTTTGATACCCATAATGCAACGTTTCATTTATCTTATCAATTTAATGGAATTAACTCTTAATCGGATGGCAACCTCCACGAAAATATTGTCGGCTGTAAGCCTTCTTTAACTTCTTTACTTTGGTAATCATATTGTAATACTTAATTTATCCTATCAACTACTTAAACTAAATTATTTTTTAAATAGGCCCTCCCAAAAAATATCATTGGCTGTAAGTAAGCCTTCTCCAAATTCCTTACTTTAATACCCATAATGTAATATTTTATTTTCTTATCAATTAAATTAAATTAATTTTTTAAACGGGTGGCAAGCCTCGTCAAACTAAAATTTTCAAACTGGTGGCAACTCTAAGATTTTTTATTTTCAAACCAGCCAGGAATTATGGCGAACAAAATATAGAATTTCAAATCGGTTACTCAATGTCTGGTTAACACTAATCTGCGGTTAAGCATCGTTATCGACGTTACCGACTCCCTGTTATATGCATGGAATCGAAGTTGTCGATAACGATGTTTAACCGCAGATTAGTGTTAACTAGACATTGAGTAACCGGCCCTTAGACTCAGTACTGGTTCGCGATAAATATCTATTGCATGCAAACAACTGGCGAATCTAACATGGCGATGTCTTAGAAAGTGTCAATTTTCCCCCACTGCATCCCTTTTTGATAGTTCCGAACTAGTCCCAAATTCTATAGTTCCGAACTACTTCTAAAATCGACAGAGGAAAGAAAAAGTATCATGATATTTTCAGTCCCTTTGGTTTTTTCGTGTGAACGATTTTAAATTATTTTCAAAGAAATGTGTTTTCAATTTGAAATTAAATTTGTTTGAATGATTGTAAGAAAGGTACGTTTACATACCTTTGGCTGTAGCTGAGTTTACAGAGGTGCTTGCTGTTATTGGTTAGATTCCAGAAGATTCCAAGATGTTAAAATGTTAACACAAATTCTGGTTTTGTTTTACCAAGCTATGGAAAGGCATCTGCGAAGTGCAGAATGAAAACGTATTTGAACGAAAAAGCCGCCAAACATATATCCATGTACAGTAAACAAACCCCCCACGCTGCATACCTTTTTTGATAGTTCCCAACTAGTTCTAAATTCGACAAATAAGATCTGAATTGAAATATTGCAAATTACATACAAAAATTTTTACGAGTATTT